CAAGCAATCATAATAAACTAAGTGATTATATCTCTTTTTGCCAACAGGTGCCACGTTGTGCTTGGCTCAAACCTTACAGCTCCAAGAGCAACCCATTTGGCTATCTTCCAGTGTTCTTTTAGAAACTTATATATCATGTTAAAGTTTCCAGTTTTATCAGTCGGAAGTTCCTACAAAAGATAAGTCAAATCACAATTAAATTAGCAGAAATTTCATCTTAAGTTCATAACTTCAAAAACAAAAGAAATTCCATAAACAAGATACTCACATCTTCCCAGCTTTTGTCAAAGAAGATGAAAGCAGCACATCCTAGCTCTACCAAGATCAAAAAGATTATTAAAACAGAATACTATGTCCACTTAAGGAAATCCATTATTTCAAGAGCAAAGGAGCTTAAGGATGGCGCATAGGTATAATAGGATTTTACTATTATTAAGAGTACTTTTAGTTTATTATTTAAGAGTCTTATTAGAGTTAGGAGTTTATTTGTAGTACTATTATTTATTATTTGTATTAGGATAAATATTATTAATTCTATTAGATTACCATTTCTTTTTTTTAAAATAAGTTTCCTAATATAATTCTAGTTAGGAAAAAGTTACTTAAAGATTCTTTAAATAACTTTGAAATTTTACTTATTAATCATCCAAGTATTTAATAATAATATTTTGAGAATTTCTCATAATAGATTGTATAATTCAATCAACCCTTAAAAGTATATTAATAGATTGTGATGCCTAAGAACTCTAGGTGCAATATATATTTTTTCCCCAATTTCTCAATAGACAAAGCAACCTAATTTATCCTACATCAATTTGGTATCGGAGTTAAAAGTATCTTACACCAAGATTCTCAAAACTGAACCCAAAACAGCTGTCAGCATTGTTCACCAATCACCTGCTGGAGGTGGTTGACACCGCCCACCACCACCAGCTCTAGGAAAGCCTGATTGACCAAATCCCAGAACTCCGCAAAACTCCATTGAGAACCGCCACACTAACCAGCAGAAGCTCCCACAGCTGCTGCCCCTTGCGAGTTTGCACTTCAGCACCGTCACATCCTTCACCAACCTCAAATTTGAGTTCATCACCTCCAGTTGGAGCTGCCCACAAAATGGTTGTCGTCTTCCAGTAACAAAAGCCGGGAAGTGAAGCCCACGTGCCGCTAGTCGTGACTAAGCCTTGTGCATTTTGTTCATTTCTATCTCAACCAGACGTTTTTTCTAAGAGATCTTTAGCAATGGTGACTAACACTGAATTAAATATTAAATTTAAGATGATTGAGGCAACCACTAATACCAAATTGGAAGCAATGCAAAACTTAATCGAAGCAATCCTAGAAGAACTGAGACACTTGTGCAGAGCTCAAATAGGTCCTCCAATTCAAAATCTGTATGTGCTCAAGTAGGTCATCCTGCTCAAAAATATGTTAAGGATAATGCTAGAAATATTATAAAGAAGATAAAAGTCAAAGCCCCTGATTTTGACAAAAGAAGGGATCTTGATCTTTTTCTTGATTAGCTTAATTTAATAAAAGAATATTTCAACTGGTATAACATGTCAAATGCACGAAGAGTTCGATTTGCCAGGATAAAGCACGTTGGACTTGCAAAATATGGTCGTCCCACTATTGATGAAAATATAACAAGAAGAGACAACCAACAATGGAAACATTGGATCAGATGAAACACTTCTTTGTGAAAAGTATCTACCTTCCAACTACTTTGACAAACTTCGTGACCAAGCTTACATTTTAGTCTATGGCACATGTCGATAACTGAGTATACACAGAAGTTTGAAAACTAAAACTCA